TTTCTTAGGATGTCTAAAACGATTTTTTGCAGTGGATCCCGAAGACGGAGTGTCTCACTGCCTGCTGGCTACCCACTGTATCCAGAATTGACGGTTAAGGTTACGGCCTTCACTGAATGTTAACAACGAAATAAACCGATTACTGGGTCAGTGGAATAAGTAATCGTGGATCATGTAGGTTGCCATTCGCCTACCCTTGCATGAGCAGAACCCTTTTGAGCTTGTATCCGGACGCCGAATGACTGATTCAGACTATACCGATAATATTTTCATGCTAGCTTCAAGCTTTTCCACAGCCTATGTTGCCAGGGGTGAGGATGCTTGCTAAATAATATGGCCTGATTGCTGAAGTGGTCCTTCAACGGACTGAACAATTGGTCTTCGCAAAGTATCAACCGACATTTTGGGCTCCTTATGTCGATGACAATTTCGTCATTTTCAAAACATACGACATTGAGCATCTCAAAGATTAATTAAACTCAGTTGACCCAAATATCCAGTTCACGATGGAAGCGAAAAAAAGTTTCCAACTACGCTACCTCGATGTCCTGGTGCGCCGTTGTTCAACTGCCAAGCCACAATATTAAGAAAAGCCACCAGAATGAAAGAAATACTCTACTTCAACAGCAATCACCCTCTGCCACACAAACGTAGCTGCGTTTCTATTCTTTCCCAAAAGTTGAAATACTTTGCAGTGCACAAGTTGACAAAAGAGTGGAACAACAATACCTACAGTAGACGCCAAAGATCACGTAATATTTCGACATATGCGAAAAATTGATACTCTTTCGCTAATCGCCATTGAGTCAAGTTGTGATACTGATTATCCTGTAGTCTATTCTGCAGTTTATTCCGTCATGGTAGGATGCGGGCTTTTCAACGAGCTTCGTTCTGATAACTAGCAAAACGTATAAGTTGTAAAAACGAGCTACTTAAGTAGTATGCTATTCTTTCATTTGTTTCGACTGCCGCTATAAATTCAAATATAGTTTATGGAAAGCGTGCACGAAAAAATATTTGTTGTACTCGCTTGGTAGCAAATTACGCCTTCTATAAAATTTATACTGAAAGTAAGGGTAGCTTTTGGTTTTAAAAAACGTTGCTCAATTGCCAAATAATTTTCTAACCCAGTGACTGTTACACTCCAATTCAATGTTTAAAAACTGCGCACTGTGTACATCCTGTTTAAGGAAAGGTACGTTTTCGCATACAATTTGAGGAAGAAGTCACATAAAATATTGAAATAGATGTGGAACATATTTTATGCAGCATAGGCAGCATTCATAAACTAAGGGATATGATGCATTATGAATAAACACCTCACAATTGTAAGAAAGCTCAGAATTAGAGAAAGAGTATCAATATTTCGCATATGTCAGAATGTTGCGTGATCTTTGGCGTCTACTGTACATGACCTCTTTAGAGCTAATGCATATCCGAATTATTTTATCAACCAAAGCAAGCGCCGAGTGCACAGACGAGGGACAGCAAAACAGCAACCCGAAGTCTGGAGAGTCATTACCTACCTTAAAGGAGTCTCCGAAACAGTCTCTCGACTGTTACAATCCGCTAGTGCAGGCATAGCCCATCAACCTCAGTCGACAATACGCCGCCGAGTTATGCAACTTAAGGATAGACTGCCTTCTAATAAAACCTCCGCAGTTGTCTACAAAAATACGTTGCAATGATGGAGATGATGTAATTACGTTTAAGAAACAGTGCACAAATTGCAGACACGCCTGCAGGAATAAAAAGTGGCCGCCCGGAGACTAGGCCCAAACACGCAGCTTGCAACGTATATGGGAGAGACTAGCCACAACTTCGATATTCAAGGAACTATCATCGTAGGCCTAGGAGCCTCAAAAGCTGAAATATTGACGCTTGAGGCATGATACTCACAGGCCAACTCTGTCAACAGGCACCTGGACCTCCCTGCGGTCTACAAAGTCCTACGCCATTAGGTAAGTAAAGGACAGGACAAGGTCAAACAGAAAGCAGCATTTGCAGAGGAAGATTGCACTGTGATGGAACTACCGGAAGATGGAGCAGGATTACCAGTATCCTCTACCGTGGGGACGAAATAGAACACCAACTGCCGTCACGCCGAGTCTAAATCTACACGTGGGGCCAAACAGCGAACGGAGAAAAATGATCATCCCAAGACAAGCACGTGCAGCGGAAACTTTTAATTTTCTGATCGATAACGCCAGTATTATCTTCGACAAACTACGGCCATTCCAGCTGTCCGAAACGTCAGTAAATCCACAACTTTATTCCGGTGAGCAGTGGATGAACTCTAAGAAGACAAAGCCCTCAATGGATGTCTGTGCTTCACAACCTGCCAATATCCC